ATCCTATTCTGTTCTGCTCATTTTTCCAACCTGTCCAGATCTGCCTGGATTCGTTTCCTACTCTCTAGTGTGTTAACTTTACCCCATAATTTGGTATCATCTGCGAATTTGGATAGAGTGATTGAGGGAGAATAGAAGAAAAGAGTCTGGTATATTGACTAAGCAGAATTTGCATTTGTCTTTATTGCATTACTAGGACTAAGGAAGTTACTTGAAGATAAGGTGCTGCAAAGGAAATCCAATTGAGTACTATGCTTTTTCAATACACACCATCCACTGGCCTGAAATGGCCTGAAAAAGTCTTATTGTAAGACTATGTGAATAGCACAACTGTATAGCTTGGGGTTCCTTTTCAATACACCTCTGAATCCCCCCAAATGATCTATACCTTATGATTTTAAAGTTATCAAGAGCTAAAATATTTTCAAAGATGGAATGATATATAATCCACATATAACACAGTGCTGGTGCATCAGTTCCTTAGGGGGCTGGAAGGTAGTTCTGGCAACATTCAGATGTAGTAAGGCCACCTGGGGCACATCCAGAGGAGTGTGCATGTATGGTTTGTGGCTTCTCAAAACTGTTTGAGGCACCAGAAACCACAAATGGTGCACGTACAATCATTTGCCATGCTGCAATTTTGATATTGGGAACTCCTGGTATCAAAAAAACCTGACACACAAAAAAGTGGTGTGGTGCATGTTCCAGGAGCACATGCTGGAGCAAGTAGAAGCTGGGTCCTCCAATGACACACTCTACTGCTTTAAGTGTCTTTCAGCTTGTCCATCACACCAGGAGGTAGCAGGAGTGGGGAAATGGTAGTTTCTCTAAAACAGGGCATTTTGCCCCTCAGCAAACCCCACAGGCAGGGGCGTGCACAGTGGCATACATTTATGCTGCTGCTATTTGTGCCATGGCAAATGCATGCCCCTGTATGTGGGGACTGACCTGCTCCTGAGGGCCATTGATTAAACCAGTGAAAGGAAAAGGGATGTCCCCTATTGTTGATGTCCCTTATTCCACGTTGTCTTTTATAAGACAGTTCAGTCATGAAACGAACATTTTAAAGGCCCAGATTCAGTAATGTAATTAAGCATGTGTCTAGTTTTAAATGCCTGAGTAATCCTATTGGCACCTTGACTATAGAGTAGAAAACCACTTCCTGAGGGTCAGGGATATGGAAGAGGTGAATTTTAAGACAGGAATCTGAGTGTTTCCTTTTGATTTTGTACTTTGAGATAAAGGTCTGGAAAAATCTCAATATTATTTGTATGTCAGATGTTTCTGTTATTTAAATTTCACCACATCACCATAATACAAATACTATGCCTTTTTCCTTTCCTATTCCCTGATGTAAGTATCTACATTAGGCCTGCCATGTCATATACTATATTCCTACCTTCAGCTTCTGTATCTCTCTACAATATCCTGTCCCTAATTTCTTACTGAATTGCAGCCAGAGACAGAGAAAGGAAGTGGGTTATAAGTGAGGTGAGTGCATGCTATATATTTAAACAAGTGATTACCCAGATAATACTTCCATAGGCATCTCCAGGATTTCATGAAGGAGGGTGAGGGAGTGGTGACCAGCACTGTAACAGTGGCTGTACCTTCTTTCCTAGCTACACCTTCTCTCCCTCCCCATCAGCAGCAGCTGGGGACATTTTAAAATCTCCAGATCAGGTAAGCCTTACCATGTCCCTACTCTTGGCATCTCCTTAATTCTCTCTGTGCTCAGCTGGCATTCCAAGAATCCACACTCTGTTGATAAACTCACAGATGAGATGGACAGGCCATGTCACCAGGATGTTAGATGAGAGACTGCCAAAGTGTTACACAAATTGCCAATTGCTCAAATCACGAGTGAGATGTTATAAGGGAGTATAAGGCAAGATGCTGTGTTTATTGATACACAGGCACACATACACACCACATTCATACCCCAATTTCTGTTCTGCACTGGTATACATTACCAGTCTTATTAATACTCCCAAGCCGATCACGAATAGGGAGCTGGGGTCCTGCTGGTCCATCTCATCAGACAAACTGATGCTCCCGGATGACATGCAGAACAAGACCCAAAATCGATGTCTGACCCCATTTTTTATAGCCTTGTCAATTGACCCAGCCCTCTGGGCTTTTGCTGTGTTATCACTGTATTCTTTCTTGAAGGTTGATTGCCGTTGTTCTCTTGTTGTTCTGGGGCGAATTCTTGTTGTTTTGGAATTTTATCTGTCTGCATTCTTCAGCCAGTGGCCAGCTGGTGTTTTCCTTTTTCACAGACACACACACACCCATTCTCTCACACACACAGCATACAAAGGTTGAACACTTATGTCAAGTTACAAAGCAATACAAAATGGAGTTTAAGACAAGGCAAAACTCAAGAAAATATATAAGATTAAAAGCAATAAGCAATAAGTCTATGTTTATAACATAAGAAGACCTTCTACAGCGAGCTAGAGGAGGGAAAGCATTCTCAGGGAGGCCAGAAGAAACGTTTCAAGGACTCTCTCAAGTCATCCTTGAAACATTTCAACATTGACCCAAGATCTTGGGAAGATCTTGCTCATGATTGTTCCACCTGGCGAAGCCTCATCTATAGCTGAGCTACAGTCTCTGAGTGGAGAAGAGCTGCTGAGGCACAGCAGAAGTGCAAACAGTGTAAATATAGTAACAGCAGCACGTCCACTGTTGATCAAGCAATGCAAAGTGGCATCTCTTGCTTAGTGTGCCACAGACAGTTCAATGCATAGATTGGCCTGATCAGCCACTAATGTGCGCACAGAAACCAAAGCAACCAGTGATGTCATAGATTCATAGATGCTAGGGTTGGAAGGAACCTCAACAGATAATCGAGTCTGACCACCTGCCTAGGCAGGAAAGAGTACTGGGGTCAGATGACCCCAGCCAGATGCCTGTCCAGCCTTCTCTTAAAGACCCCCAAGGTGGGGGAGAGCACCAGCTCTCTTGGAAGCCCATTCCAAATTTTGGCCACCCTTACCGTGAAGAAGTTTTTCCTGATATCTAGCCTAAATCTGCTCTCTGTCAGTTTGTGACCATTGCTCCTTGTTACTCCAAGAGGCACCTGGGCGAACAGGACATTTCTGATCCCTTGCTACGTCCCCCAAATGAATTTGTAGGCGGCCACAAGATCACCTCTTGGGGTCATGGTCATCTTCGAATTTGAAGGAGAAACAACACAGCACAACACTTCCTGTCCCATTTGCTCCCCTCCTCCACCTAGTGTTGCTGCTGTTTCTGGCCACCCTGGGGGCCAGGGGGAGCTCCAGAGCTGCTCATGTGCCAGTTCAACTGGGCTGTGTGGAGATCTGAGCTTGGCTGGGCTCAGAAGCAGATCTGGGATTTTACAAAGGGAGCAACCAGCACTGCAGGTGTGTCTGCACAAGCTTCCCTGCCCAGCACACCCCATGCTACACCGGGGTGGGCAGACAAAAGCATCAGTTGGGGAATTTTTTAAGTCCCCAAAGCAGAATGTACACTCATGTGACTGATATTGCCTAGCACTCCCTGAAGAAACAGCTTACAGTCCAAGGGAGTCCAAGTATAACCCAAGACAGACAGGATAGGCTGCACATTCCCTAAGACCATTTTTTTAGATAATAAATATAGGACAAGAATTTAAAAGTAGAATAAGAACTTAATAGCACCCCTGAAAACCAACCCCCACCATCCAAAAATACAACTGGAGAGAAGAGAGAGTTATGTCTAAGTGAAGTGGTTGTTAATTACCCTAACATCTTTCTCTGTGGCAACAAGCTACTCTCAATACATACATATGCATACCATCATATCTTCCTTTTAACTCTAACTGTATCAAATTTATTCTATAATTAAAAAATGCCTAGAGTAAGGAAGAAGGGCTACATTAAAAATATGGCAACTTTTAAAGGTTGGGGGAGAGCAGCTAGAAGAACGTGAGCGATCCTTAACCAGCATTAAAAAATGGGGGAATTTGTGGAAACTGGAGCTGAAATTATGCAAATGGAATTCAATTTATTTGGAAAAGGATCTAAAAAGCCTTTTCTACGTCCAGTTTGATTTATGAGGAGCATAATTTATTTAGCTTGTAGCAGACACCAGAATCACTTGATATATTAATATGCATCTTGAATGCACTCCTTTGCATGTGAATTGTGATATCTTTTGCCTTCAGATATCTGACAGTAATTAACTCTTTATTCAATGAAATCTCCTCCCCTCTCTTTCTTCTTCTGCATTTTGGAGTAAAGCCTATCAGGTTCTGAGGTCAGCCAATTTCTGTATTAGTCAATAGGAAGTAGGGGTATTCAGAGTCCCACTGCATTATGAACATTGGGTATATTTTCTCTTTCTGATGCAAATGCATAAGGTATGCAAGTGTATTTTTATGCTTTACATATTGTGCTACAGTAAGCGAAGCCATTTTTTTTTAACAGCAAGCTAACCAGTGACAGAGGCAAAGCAAAGTGAGTAGGCACAGGACCTTCTCTTTCCACCCATGTTAACAAGAGTTTTTATGTAGTTGACATGACTTAACATCTTGCAGTAATGTTCTTCAAAATCCAGGCAGCCCTTAAAGAGACATTAGGGAGGCTCAGTTTACAGCCCAAGTCACCAGGAGGATCTCATGTCTCTGCTAATAAGACTCTAAACTTTATGGCTTCTCATGGGTCTTTTAAAAGCAGTAATGAATTTAAATTCCATCTACCAGGCACAAAATGTGAGATGTTTTATGCAGTCTTCTTCTTCTAAACTTGGACCACTTTTACATGAAGCATGACACTGGAAGGAAATATCCTTATCTGTACATCAATAATCACACTTTTAGAAATAAGGAATATTTCATACTCAAAAAATAATATTAAAAATATAGCATGGCATTCCCCTCCCCCCCCCTTTAAATCTCATTTTAACACATACTAGACTGACCTCAGTTTTGGGAGAATCACTCAGCTGATTCTAAATATAGCATCACATCTACCCATAAATGGGACTGAAGGGGCAGTAGCCTTCCTTTGAGATAGAAATTATTTTTGTTTTCCTCAGCCAGAGCTTGCTAAGCTGGGTAAGGCTGTTCTTCCTCTCTGCTTTGCCATTTTTATTCTCACTGGGTAAGTATATTTTCATTTAAAAAAAATTCTCAGTAAGGAAGGAAATGAAAGAATGTTTACAAGTGTCTGTACAAAATATAAAGGAAAATGAGGAACATCATAATATACAATTATTTATGAAAGAAAATATCAGATTAGAGGGAAAATATGGCATGTTTTAGTCTGATTGCCAATTATATTTTATTTATTTTTAATCACTTCTTTGGATCTAGACAAATTACATTGTACTCATCTATAGAAATATGGGTATCCATGTTTCCTTATTGAAAATATAGTGCTCTTTCTTGTTCTCTATTCTCAAAAAAAGGAAAAAAAACATAATTTTGTCCTGAATAGAAATATAATGTAATTAGGACACAAAAAACTCTATTTTATTTTCATCCTTTTCGCATAACTAGCAAAAACCATTTAGTTTGGAATAAAAATTGATGTATTTGGAACACAAAGTCCTATGCTATTTGTTGTCAGTCATATTTTTAAGTACATGTCTTTAAAAGACAGTTTTCTGATTGTTGTTATTGCTTTGTGCTGCTTGATGTGTTTTGTGCCTCCTGAAAATTCCAGCTAAATACCACTGATAGAGCCTTTAGAAATTGCACTCATGTTCTTGAAACTATGCCTGCTAGAAAGAGATAGTGAAATTGGATGATTGCGCCTAAGAACCAATGAAAGCCCCATAATGAAGGATAATAGAGATTGGAATGGTTGGAAGCAACTACCTTTCACTATCTCACTGTTTCATATTCTTTGCCATTCAGTTAACAGGATATGGTGCATTAGAATGTGAGGGAAATCTCCAAACTTGATGGAACGCGTGTACTGCAAATCTGTTGTGTATGCAAACAGTTAGGATGATAACATTTTGGGTGAATGTGGATATTTATGGGCCAAGTTCATCCCATGCATAAGTGGCTTCAGCAGAACTGGACTCTTTCTAGAAGTCAGAAAAAATGTTTATAAAACCCTTTCAGGAAGATGAACAAGTTTGTGCTGTCCCTGGGATGTATTTTGCCTGGTTATGACTAATGTACACAGAGTCAAAAAGACTCCAAAAGAAGTAAAAAAGAAGACTCAAGAAGAGTCAAAAAGTGCCTCCTCATCTCCTTGTCACCTACAAAACAGCCAGGTAGATCCCTGCTCCAGGCAGTCAAGGGAATACAGAAACTATGTCCTTCTACTCCCAAATTTAGTGCCTGAATGCGGTTGGGGAGAGGACCTAGGAGGCAGAACCATGGCTTCTACTTACATGCTGGCAAGCAGAGTGGGATGTCCGCAGCAAGAGGATAGTGTCCCCATGAAGTAATGCAGAAGTCCTTGTACACAGCATTCCTGTAGGACAGGAAAGTCTCACCTTCCCAGGGTGAGACGAGCTGCATCCACACTGCCCTTTACTGTGGACTATGTGCAATCTGTGCAATCTAAACCAAGAACATTTTCATTATGAGGAAATATTTATATTTAGTTCTTTAATGCACATGTATTCATTCAATGATGTTAGTATTTGGAAAGTTGAACAACAAATGGGAAGTGATAAAGATCCATAAATTCAGATCCTACCCTGAGTAATTATCTCCTGACTATGATGTCCAGAAAGCATATATAATCATTGGTCCTTACACAAGGTTTCCATCAAGATCACATTGTAAGTTCTGCCTAAGTGACTATATGCTAGAATTTCTAACAGATTTTCCTATCTAGCTGTAAATTACTTGCTGTCACCTGTCTGAAGTAAAAGGAATTTCTGTGAAATAGACATTAGAATTCAATGGTAATTTAGGCCACCTGGACTTGAAGATAACCTGTTGCTATAATGGCCAAATATTAAGGGATTCACCATACCATTGGTATATAAAATGGAAAAAAACTGTGTGTTGGGGGGAGGGGGAGTTGGAATCAGAATGAGCAAATTCTACCCTCAGCTAAGAGGAAAATAACAAACCATCTAACCATTAGGCTGTAGGACCCCAGGAACCATAGAACAGCCTCTGGCAAAGTATGCATATCATAAAAGCCATGATAAGCCCAAAGTAACAATATGTACAAAATGTACAATATGTACAAAAGCAAAAGAGCAAGTTATACTGATCTTTTAACAGGAGTCAGAAGATAGCATTCAGCCAGAGCAGGGGGGACCCTGCCAATTTCTGGATTTGTATAGCTGGACAAGGACAGAGAAAGTACAGTGTGTGTCATACAGCATTAGAGATAGGAAAGAGAGACCTTCTTATTCTAAGCCATGGGAATGCAAGTTATCTGCCTGTAGTGAGCACAATCTTCTTCAAGTCAGGCCTAAATGATCAGTTTCTTGGTAAAGTGCATGTGCTTTGCGACTGTGGGAATGAACTAATTAGAATTATTGCTGGTCCTCTAAATCTTAAATTAAGTCACTCATTCGACTAGCTAGGTCAAATTAGCTTATATCTAACTCTGGCTTCTTTGCTCATGAAAGCACCCTTGCTTCTTGATTATTGTTCAGAACATTGGTAAGAGTCTGTGTGCAACTTGGCCTTTGAACTCTGCCTTTTCCTCCTTATTGCTTGATTGACTACTCAAGATATACACTCTACCAAATAAGTACATACATGGAAGCACTATCTGTCTGATGGACTCAAATGATAAAATTAGTGTGCTCGGTATAATTACGATTTAAAGTTAATAAATCAAATGAGCTCTCTTGTATACCAGTATTTAGATTCTATACTCTTGTGGTCAGGGATCAAGTCTTTGTGTTTGTACAATGACACCAGTGACAGAATTTTGGTCCTTATGCTGATCTTGGATGAGGAGGATGATGACGATGAATTGTTTGCCCTACTGTACCAGTAGATTTCCACCTGGAGACTGGATATAGAATGTGAGACTAAATCAGGGATCACATAATACCCTAGAACTCTACATTTCCATGCAAACAATGAGGAAAATTAATGGGACTTATGTGGAAGAGGTTTAAGAGCAACTTGACATTCAGATCATATTTTATAACAAACAACTTCTTACAGAGAACATGGCAGCCCATCTTCTCTTCACCCCAAACCTATTCGGTGACATTGTGCAGCATTAATTTTAATGGGGCCAAGAATTCACACTTATCTCTTCTCACTGATCTTAAATGATAGGCTGTGCAGCCCTGTTGGGTGTTAAATATGTACTCCATAAGCATTGTGGTAATTATGCAGTGATGTTATTGCATTTGAACTGGTGCCAGCCAGCAGCTCCCCTCTGTGATAACAGAAGGCTAAATGAATCTAGCTTCTAACAGGCCCTGTTAATTACCTCTATTGAGGATCTGCATTAAAGTTGATCAGCCATTTGTGTCTATATTCTATATAAAGTGGACAAACATTTAAGTATCTGAACTCAAATTCTGGGAAAATCTAGAAATGGATTTATTCATAATAAATGGAAAGAGAATCATGTTTGAAAAATAGTTTTATATTTTAAATTGAGAATTATGTACTGCAAATAGCAAAAATTATGTATAAGGTCTTTAGTTTTGGGTGCCGTACTTTAAGAAATATGTGGATAACTTTGAGTGGGGCCAGAGGAGGGCCACTTGTATGGTTAAGGGTCTGCAGGCTAAGCCCTATGAGGAGAGACTGAGGGACCTGGATGTCTTCAGCCTCTGCAAGAGAAGGCTGAGAGGTGATCTTGTGGCTGCTTACAAATTCATTAGGGGGGCAGCAAGGAATTGGAGATGCTCTGCTCACCAGGGCACCTCTTGGGGTAGCTAGGAACCATGGTCACAAACTGACAGAAAGCAGATTTAGGCTGGACAGCAGAAGAACTTCACGGTAAGGGGAGCCAGACTCTGGAATGGGCTTCCAAGGGAGGTGGTGCTCCTACCTTGGAGGACCCCTACCTTGGAGGTCTTTAAGAGAAGGCTGGATAGGCATCTGGCTGGGGTCATCTGACCCTAGCACTCTTTCTTGCCTAAGGCAGTGTGTTGGACTCGATGATCTGTTGAGGTCCCTTCCAACCATAGCACCTATGAATCTATGAATCTATAAATGAAAATTGCCTGGAATTTGGTGTATCCAACAGCATGGACCTGGTTCTAAAGTCCCTCTGCATTTTATCTCAGAGAGAGTTACATGCTGAGAAAGAATGGAAGATTGGGTTCATAACATGGATTGAGTTGGTATATTTGATAAACAGTTGGTATAACAGTTTACCTGGGCCTAATAGACCCTGAAAGAAGAAACGGATAACACATAATACTGGGTTGCCAGGTGTTTTCAGGTGTGTACATGAAAGGATCTTTGAGCTTCCCTTTCTGAACCTTCAGTTTAGTAAAGGAAGTAGGTATAAAGAGAGAGAGGGAGGCAGCAGCTGGAAGGGGGAAACACAGTATTGTTTACTGTCTATTTAAGGAATGACCTGGAACAGGTCACTTGTTGTGTAACTTGTAGACATAATGGTTAGATAGGGGGGCAAGTTTATTATTTAATCTCGGTGTATGCCAGATTTCTTTAACAAGTTTTTGACACACATGCTATTTTTTTGAAAAGTTCTAGCTCCTGGATTTACAGGGTGATATGAGCTTCCCAGCTTTCTTTAAAACGATTCTAGTCCTCATGGCTATAGAGAAAGTTTAGAAAATATGACTAACACTCACTTTTGTTCAGATCCCCTTGCATTATACTCTGTATATGCAATAAAATTGCCTACTTGTGGTGTCTACATGACAGTTTGGCAAATACTTAATTGTCATTTACTAAAACTGAAGACCTTAATAAAGAACAGCATTTGTAGGTCCTAGTATGAGGGCAGTGAGAGAAAGGCATGATTCCCTTTCTTTTCTTGTATGACTCAAAAAGAGACAATTATTTTTTACTCCTCTATGCAGAGAAAGGAGGAGGCCCCATGGCCACACACCTGTTTTTGCACCAGCTTGTGGAGCATGACCAATAGGTTTACTTCACAAAGGAATATATTACCAGTATCTGGCATGTTCCCATTTCACTCCAGGGGGTCCTTCCTAATATACTGGGAGTTTATCCAGCTAAGGGCCTGGGATTTGGCCCAATGTGCTTTAGAAATGTTATACAGAGGAATTGCTTTAATCATCACTGAAATGCAACCACCTCTGTTGGGAAATGTGGCAGTTATTCAACTGCTTACAGCTCTTCCTCAACTATCTAAGGCAGCAGGATAGGAAGTGAAGAATCCCATATCCTATTAAAATTGCAAAGGGAATTTAGGTAGACAGACTGTAATTACACAAACAGGCATTTAGTAAGGACCTGGGTGGTATCCTTGTTGATTTTACAAAAAAAAAAGATGTCATTACATTTCTAAAACACAAATGGACGCTCCTCTATCAGTACAGTGGCTCGTTTAACACCATGCTTGGGAATTATTTCAGGCTGGGAAGAGTGCCACCTACTGAATATCACAACCCAAAGGTGTGATTTTGTTTTGTGTGTGCTTTGGCACCGCTGAATTATGTTCCCTCTAAATTGCAGCTTCTTTGCACAGTGGAGTTTTCTGCTGCAGAGGAAAACCCTGGTGTAAAAGAATTCCCGCCAATTTGTAGCTTTCTTTGCAGGGTGCATTTCTTTGTTGCAGCACAGAAATGCTCATTGCAAAGAGTTCCCGTCATTCGTATTCTAATTCGAGCCCCATTATTGGCTTGCGTGAAATTATTCACACATGGCGGCTGGCGATTGGCTTGCTAGCCGTATAAAAAGCTTGAGTGGTTTCCGCCCAAGTTGGAGGACTCCACGAACACCAGGAGGAGGAGACTTCACGCTGTGTGAAGATCTCTAAGCGCTGCGGAACCTATTGGACCCAGTGCATTTCAAGCAGGCAACAGGGGTCTGATCAGCCTCTAGCCTCTCCCCATCACCGAGCGCAAACCTCGACGTATCCCTCTCCCTGCGCCCTGCGCGCACAACTTCCACGGAGCCTAGCAAACTTCGTGTGAGTCTATTCAGAGCACAAGTTCCACGGAGCCTAGCAAACTTCGTGTGAGTTCAAGTACTTTCTTCGGTTGGCACGATGGGCTCGTGGTTTAGAGCCTCCAACCGGATGGGCTAGAAGAATGTTCACGGGAAGGAACTCTAGTCTGCCTCTCTTCTTTTCTATCTGTAACTGCATCTCAAGCAAGTTTTCCTGCCTGCACCGCGACCATCTTTGGTGTAAGTAAATAATCTTAAATCAATCATTATGCGTCCGTGCCTAATTCCAGCGTGTCGCCTGTTCTCTCCGACCCAGCGTGCCCGGGCTGCTGGCCACAGCCTGCGCAGCGCGAAAAAGGGCCCGGACCACTCCCGGCCCACACACTGAACATCAATACCACTTTCCGGCAGCATCCTAGAAGTTCCTGGTTGCTCTCCCATCTGAATACTGATCGAGTTCTGCCATGCTAACCTAGTGAGGTCACAGCATGAGATGACTATATTAATCAGATATAACTTTTTGTGATGGATAAGTGACATTACTTATATATAGTTAGTTAAAAATGCTTCAGCAAGTACATTTGTTGGGAAAGCATCACAGAGGTTTGAAAGCCCTGGTTAAATGTGAATATCATTATTTACTTTACAGGAAAAGACTGTAGGAGGTTGAATTATGTCATCAAAGCCATTGCCATTTTACCAAAGGAGGCATAAACACTTTGATCAGTCATATCGCAACATTGAGACAAGATACTTGCTCCAAGAATATTCAGCAAGAAGGTATGTACCACACAGTTCATGCAGTATAGAGATATTTCTCTTCTAGTGTAACTCATTTAAAAATGTAGAACTCTTTTAAAAGAAAAAATAAAGAATTTATATTGAATTTTGATTTTCTTAGAGCATAGGTTCTCAACTCCTTTTCATGTTGCTATTCCTTTATGCCATATGGATCTACATGTGCTATTAGCAGGGAGCAATAAAATCTGGTGCATATTGCACTAGAGTTTATTGCTCCTGGGTGCCATGTTTTCATGATCTGGGGGGCCAGCCTATCAGTCCAGGGGTGCTCCAATCCACCTCAGTGTGCTGCAGAAGGGCTGACTGGGGCATGACGTTGCGTCAGTGCGGAGCTAGCCAGCAAGCAGCCCCTGCACAGAAAGACACTTGTGTCCCAGCCAGCCCCATCAGAGCCTACACAATGGGCATTGCTGCACACTGAAGAACTCCACTGAAGAACAGTACTAGTATTTACAAGTATTAACCTATCGTGAAGTTAATTAGCTTACTGCGGCCTAATAGGGCTGCACTTGTAGACATGGAGACTTTACTGCAGAGCTAATTAGGCAGCTCCTCAGTAAATATCTCATGTAGCTATGTCCCCCCACCATGACTATCCCAGATATAGCTGTGATCCCTTCTCTATTTAGTGTCACGGGTTGGTCACAATCCATCAGCACCTATTCATTACATCTAGTTTGAAAATTCTGGCCTTAAAACAGAGCTTTGAGTTTGAAAATGTCACTCTAATTTTAAGAAAAGTATTTGCTATAGATTGTATCTAGGTATGTGGACAGTTTTTAGTTCTACCTGAACTCTATACCTTGAGGATGTTCACTGCCCTGAAGTGCGTTATTTGAAGTTGCGGTCACTGGGAGTTTTTGCTTTTACTTTACATCTTCATTTCTCCTTTATTTGAGATTCTCTTCTCTCATTGTATTGCAAGGAGTATTGAAAATCCTATTGCATGCGTGTGGGAGTTTCCCTCTCTCTCTGTGTTACTGCAGCTATTGAAATAAACTCTGGGTATGGACAGGTGAAACAACTATACTGAATAAAAAGGGAATTTTTTAGTGCTTGAGCTGACCCATTGTAACTGTTTTGGGTGAAATTCTAAGGTAGATTAGGTGGGGAATGTTTTGTGAAAGCCATGAAATATCCCATTTAGAAAACTGTATGGTTCTGGTCACTGATGTTAAAAAAAATGAATTTAAATTGAAACAGGTACAAAGAGGGGTGGTTGTGGTGACTAGGGAAATGGAGAACCTATATTCTGAGAGGAGACAAAAGAGTGATGTATTTAGCTTAGCAAAATCAAGGTTGAGAAGACATATGATCACTGTTTATAAATACATTGGTTGGGGTGATAATTGGGGAGAGAAGAGCTATTTAAGCTAAAGAACAATATTGGCACAATATAACATGGCTAGATCTGGTCAGGAGCAAATTTAGATTAGAATTTATTTATTTATTTATTAGATTTATATATTTTTTCCTACAAAGGCTCAGGGCGGTTTGCAGGAAAAGACAGCAAAATTACATATAAAAGCAAATGGAATTGGCGTACACCTCATGGAAGGGAGGGGCCATTACCAAGAAGGATTATACCTCCATTGCTCGAGACTGTAAGGGGGCTGTTAGGAAGGCTAAGGTGGACACAGAACTGGGATTAGCAACCCAGATCAAAGACAACAAGAAGTCCTTTTTTAAATACATAGGGAATAAAAAGAAGGCACCAGGTAACATGGGGCCCCTGCAGGACACACTTGGCAATCTGGTGGTTGCACCAGATGACAAAGATGATCTCTTTAACAAATTCTTTGCCTCCATATTTCTGAGCAGGGACTGGGACATCCCCCCACCACCAGAATCCCGGACAAACTCAGGAGAGGCACAGCCGGGCCCAGGGTCAGAGAGGACCTGGTCAGGGAACTTCTGGTGGGACTGGACGTCTTCAAATCGGCAGGTCCAGATGATCTCCACCCAAGGGTGCTAAGGGAATTGGCAGAGGACATTGTAGGACTGCTGGCACAGCTCTACGAGCACTTGTGGTGCTCTGGCAAGGTGCCAGAGGACTGGAAAAGGGCCAATGTGGTCCCCA